GGTACTCTTCCCACCTCTTCCCACCCACCCACAGACTTTCGCAGTTCCCAGCGAAGTCATCACACGCCTCCCTAGCATGCCCCGGATCCACTCAACAAGTTTCATCGGGACACCCCTTCTGGCGGCTTCCTCACACTACCTCGTGCGGTGTGTTGTTAAAGGCGCCCTCTATGTCCAAGAAAGCACCCACTGCGTAGCCCTTCCTTTCCAGCTGCTCCTCAATAAACGCTACCGTCTGATGTAGAGCAGTCTCGGTGGAATAGCCCGAACGATACGCGTGCTGATTTTTGTGGAGAGGGTGACTCCACAGAGTTGTCTCCCTCAGATACGCGTCCACCAGCTTCTCCAATGTCTTAAGGAGAAACGATGTTAGGCTAATTGGCCTGAAATCCTTTGTCTTGGTGTAGCTCGTTCTTCCCGCCTTCGGAATGAAAACTATCCTGGCCAGTTTCCATGCGCTGGGTGTGTAGCCCATCGCGATACATGCTCTTAAGGTTCGAGTCAGTGGGCCCATGATCTGTTCCAGTCCCTCTTGTAGAAGAGCCGGAAAGACGCCATCCGGTCCCGCTGACTTGTAGGACTTAAAGGTGTTAATTGCCCATTTGACCTTCTCGGGCATGACAATCTTGGCCGCCATTTGCCAATCCGCTTGTCGGGCTCTTCTGAGTGAGCCCGGCTCCTTATATGCAAATAGCTCTCCCGGCTCCCTAGAAGCCCGAAAAGCTCACTTCCAGTAGATGCTCCAGACATTGCTCTCCAGTCACCACCGTCCCATCAGAGAGTGCGATGGCTTCCAGGGTCACATCCGGGTTCCTAGCGAGGATCCTGCAGATTCTTGCCGTTTCGGGCATTCCCTCCACTTCCTCGCAAAACTTCCTCCAGCTTTCCTGTTTCGCCCTAACCACAAAGTCTCTATATTCCTTCTGTGCCCTCCTAGAGAGCTCCCAGTCGGATTGGCGGCCCGTGTTCCTAGCTCTATTCCAGGCCCTGTGAGCCGCCACTCTGAGACCCTGCAGTCCAGTGGTCCACCAGGAAGTTCCTCTACTATTTGTAACCGCCTTTTCGGGGCAGTTACTTTCGTAGCAGTTTACCAGAGACCTCTGCAAGTAGTCCACACAGGTCTCCAGTTCGTCCTCTGTCCCGTGCCTCTTAGGGAAGCCTTTGAGACTGTTGGCTAGGTCTTTCCTATAGGAGTCCCACTTGGTTTTCCTCGGATTTCTGAATTTGACCTCCTTCCCCCTAGCCTTAGCTATCCTGAAGGAGATCTGCCTATGGTCAGAGAGCGAGGGCTCCGTCGAGACCCTCCACTCCACTACCTCCTGTACTACCTCCACTACCTCAACTGCCTGGAACAGACAGTGATGTCGAGCACTTCTCTTCTCGCTATAGTGCAGAAGGTGGGCTCATCTCCTGTGTTGAGGATCTCCAGATCCGTAGTAGCTAGAAACTCCAACACTTTCCTCCCTCTATCATTGGTGTCCGAGCTTCCCCACACGGTGTGATGCGCGTTAGCGTCACATCCCATGATCAAAGGAAGCCGTTTCTCCTGGCAGTATTCTGCCAGTTTTATCACCGGTACAGGCGGCACCGCCTCCCCCTCGTCATGAGAGAAGTAGGCCGAGCAAATAACCATTTTCTTCCTGTCACCGGAGTGATCAGTGAAATTCACTTCTACAGCCGCAACGTCCCTGGAACACAGGTGAGGTATCAGCTGGGCTTCCATGCCCTTGACGGCCACGCAGGCCCTGGGCCGGTCCACTGATGGAGCCCTAAAGAGCCTACCGCAGGCCGCCAAACCCCTGATGCAACCTCGGATTACCCAGGGTTCTTGCATTAGTGATATGCATGTTTGTCTCCCAGCTTGTTGCCTGGCCAAAACAGCCGAGGCCCCTTTGCTATGATGCAGATTAACCTGGGTGAAGGCT